AAAAAAAAAAAAATTAAGTCTGAATTAAATTAAATACATTTAAATACAAGTACAACAAATAAAAATACAGATCCAGCTTCTCACTCGAGCTAACCCCATTTTGAGTGCTCAGCACTCACTCACAGCTTGGGGCTACCATTTCAGAGTTGCAGATATATTTTGGAGATGTCCCTTCCTCCCTACACATAGATATCTGAGTCAAACTACAAACAGAATGGAAAACATTAAATGATGGTAACCCCAGCCACCCCTATCATCTGTCACTTATCATCATTGACAGCGTTTAGTTCACAGGTTTCCGCAAAGATAGGCTGAGTTAGGGAGAGCTCCCGCAGTGAGTCATAAGAGCTGAGACCCAGGAGCCTGAGCTTGTCCACTCTGTCCACCCTCCCCGACCTTGACCCTCCCTGTGGGAAGTAGCAAAGTTCCTTTTAAAATTAAATTTTAAAAGGAATTTTTCCTCTCTTCTTAAAAAAATAAGTGTGCTAGTAGTTCTTTGTTAAGTCCTATCCTATGCAGCTGTTAGACATGCTTACAGGCATGTAGTACATTCTGTGTCCTTGTACTTTAACCAAGATGTCTGTGCTGGACGTGCTCACAGGCATGGCCCAGCTCTCCATTGCTTTCACCTGTGTAGAAAAGTTTTAAGTTGTTAGCCAATCAGGTTTTTAGTTTAGATTGTGAGGTCTGGCTCCAGCCAATGGGGATCAGACACAGCAGTAAGGACGACCCCAAATGCGCGAGGGATCAATTTGTGTGTGTTCCTTTATTCGTTGTACTCTCATTGGAAAATGGCTATCGAGAGTACCCTTCCTGCAGCCCAGGAAGTAAAAATTGCGTGGCTCGAAGATCCTTTGTCTCGGTGCTGATTTTTCTTTGTGGTACCGAGCCTCTATTTCCATCTGTTTCCAACACTCCATGTTCTGTCTCTGCCCGGCAGGGATCTGTGTGGCAGACCCCTTCGAGGTGACGGTCATGCAGGACTTCTTCATCGACCTGCGGCTACCCTACTCTGTCGTTCGAAACGAGCAGGTGGAAATCCGAGCCGTTCTCTACAATTACCGGGAGAAGGAAGATCTCAAGGTGGGTCCCAGGGTGGCAGACGCTTCATGGAGACTGCAAGCCGGTAAGCAGCCTGCTGCACACACGCTTGCCCTGATACTTTCTCTCCCTGGCAGGTGAGGGTGGAGCTGCTCCACAACCCAGCCTTCTGCAGCCTGGCCACTGCCAAGAGGCGTCACCAGCAGACTGTCACCGTCCCCCACAAGTCCTCGATGTCCATTCCCTATGTCATCGTGCCCCTAAAGACTGGCCTGCAGGAAGTAGAAGTCAAGGCTGCCGTCTACCATTTTTTCATCAGTGACGGTGTCAAGAAGTCCCTGAAGGTCGTGGTGAGTGCTCTGGGAACCCACAAACCCTTGTCCTTCAGAGAGGGCTCCTGGTCTTCATACTATTGACTCAGGTTGGAGATCCAGGCTCTGAGACACTGAGAATCATAGTGTCTGGCTTAGGAAATTTGGAAGTCCCAGAATTTCAGAAGTGGAGCCAGGATTGGGGTAAAGTGAGTGAGATAACCCCAGACATAGAATTTTAGGGGGTGCCGAGAAGCTCATCAACCATCACCAATCAATAATATGGTGTTTTTTTTTTTTATTTTGTTTTTTGTTTTTTGAGATGGAGTCTCACCCTGTCTCCCAGGCTGGAGTGCAATGGCACGATGTCCTCTCACTGCAACCTCTGCCTCCTGGATTCAAGCAATTCTCCTGCCTCAGCCTCCCGAGTAGCTGGGACTGTAGGCGCCCATCACCACGCCCAAACTTTTTTGTATTTAGTAGAGATGGGTTTTCACCATGGTGGTCAGGCTGGTCTCGAACTCCTGATCTCAGGTGATCCATCTGCCTCAGCCTCCCAAAGTGTTGGTGTTACAGGCATGAGCCGCTGTGCCCGACCCCAATAATATTTTTTATACTCAATTTTAAAATTTTATTTTAGTTATTTATATTTTTGAGACAGAGTCTCACTCTGTCACCCAGGCTATAGTGCAGTGGCATGATCTCAGCTCACTGCAACCTCCCTCTCCAGGGTTCAATCGATTTTCATGCCTCAGCCTTCGGAGTAGCTGGGATTACTGACATTCACCACCACGCCCAGCTAATTTTTGTATTTTATTGTATTGAGACCCTGTCTCAAAAACAAAGAATTCAAAAGGTTATATTATTTCATTATTAATTTATAGTTTTCTGATAAATTCACACCACAACACAATAGGCAGATGTTTGTATTGGCTTCTTATAAGGAGGGAAGCTGAGGCACAGAGAGGTTAAGTAACTGCCACCTAATCACACAGCTGCGGGAAGGGGCCGGGTTCAGAAGCTTTGACACCTATGCTAGGGTAATTCTAAGGACAGTGCCCTGCTGACCATCTGTGTGTCTGTCTGTCCTTTTATCCATCCAACGACTCCCTCCTACCTCCAACACTGAGTAGCCGGAAGGAATCAGGATGAACAAAACTGTGGCTGTTCGAACGCTGGATCCAGAACACCTGGGCAATGGTGAGTCGGCTGCAGGGGTAGGGGCTGCGGGGCTGGCGGGGTTCGGCGGGGAAATGACCTGGGTTTGGTGAGGTAGGGTAGGGTGGGAGGGAACTAGCGCCATCGGTGTGTCTCACTCACGCAGCAGAAGGAGTACAGAAAGAGGACGTCCCACCTGCAGATCTCAGCGACCAAGTCCCGGACACAGAGTCTGAGACCAGAATTCTCCTGCAAGGTGAGATGCCTTTGGCCCCGACCCCATGGGGTCCAGGAAGGCATGGAGGGAGCCGAATTCCGTCTCATTCTGGAGGTGCTTAACCCGCACCTTTCTCTTCCCCTTCAGCTAGGACAGCTCCTCCGTGATCCGATTTCTCTCTTTAAATTTTTTTTATTATTTTATACGGAGCCCTGTCACCCAGGCTGGAGTGCAATGGCGCCATCTCGGCTCACCGTGACCTCTGCCTCCTGGGTTCAAGCGGGTCTCCTGCCTCAGCCTCCCTAGTAGCTGGGATTACAGGCACACACCGGCACCCCCAGCTAATTTTTTGTATTTTTAGTAGAGATGGAGTTTCACCATGTAGACCAGGCTGGTCTCTAAGTCCTGACCTCAAGTGATCTGCCCGCCTTGGCCTCCCAGAGTGCTGGGATTACAGGTGTGAGCCACTGTGCCCGGCTTTAAAATTTTTTTTCAACCATACAGACATTCTTTGCTATGATCAGTTTTATAGAAGCCTCCAGATAGTATTTAGTTCAGCAAAGAGCTTTTGCTGATACATCAGGTTAATTTCTTCTAGAACTTCTATGCTTCTTAGACGGGAATTCAGCTTAAATGAGAAGCAATAGCCTGTAATCCCAGCACTTTGGGAGGCCAAGAAAGGCAGATACCTAAGGTCAGGAGTTTGAGGTCACCCTGGCCAGCATGGTGAAACCCTGTCTCTACTAAAAGTACAAAAATTAGCTGGGCGTGATGGCATATGCCTGTAATCCCCGCTACTCAGGAGGCTGAGGCAGGAGAATCACTTGAACCTGGGAGGTGGAGGCTGCAGTGAGCCGAGATCACAACACTGCACTCCAGCCTCCAGCCTGGGCAACAGAGCGAGACTCCTTCTCAAAAACAAAAACAAAACAAAACAAAACAAAAAACAAAAAGCCAAGCAATATAGCACAAGACCAGAAATTCTGGAGCTCACTTCTTGCCCCAGTAGGGTAGGCTGGAGAAAGATATAAGGCTCTGGGACAAGCCTTGTTTTTTTCATCTTTGATAGTTGGAAGAATAATAGTATCTACCTCCAAGGGTTGGTGTGACTTTTTTTTTTTTTGAAACGGAGTCTTGCTCTGTCGCCCAGGCTGGAGTACAGTGGTTTGATCTCAGCTCACTGCAACTTCTGCCTCCCAGATTCAAGCCATTCTCATGTCTCAGCCTCCTGAGTAGCTGGGACTACAGGCACCAGCCACCACGCCTGGCTAACTTTTGTATTTTTAGTAGAGATGCATTCCACCATATTGGTCAGGCTGGTCTCGAACTCCTAACCTCAGGTGATCCACCCACCTCAGCCTCCGAAAGTGCTGGAATTACAGGTGTGAGCCACCGCACCTGGCCTGGTGTGACGATGAAATGAGATACTCTGTGATGTTCTCTTAGAACAGTATGGGAAGTAACCTTAAGCACAGTATGAGTATTCCTGAATATCGTTACTGGAATTATTTTACTGCTGGTGAAACGAGACCCAGGGACCAGGGTACCCTTATGAAGCACGTCCCCCTCCCTACAGTGCAGACCCCCAACAGCCACTCAGCCGTGCATCCTCCCCTCCCGGCAGTCACATTTTCCCAGCCCTCGCCTGTCCCCGACTCCTTGGCCCTGGCTGGATAGGAGGCTGGAACCCTTTTCACCCCACCCCAAGGTGGGTCACCCGGCTTGAGTGACGTCCTCTCCTCACCCGCTGCAGGGACCCCGGTGGCCCAGATGACAGAGGATGCCATCGACGGGGACCGGTTGAAGCACCTCATCGTGACCCCCTCGGGCTGCGGGGAACAGAACATGATTGGCATGACACCCACGGTCATCGCGGTGCATTACCTGGATCAAACGGAGCAATGGGAGAAGTTCGGCCTGGAGAAGCGGCAGGAGGCCGTGGAGCTCATCAAGAAGGGTGGGCGCCCTGACCCTCATGGAGACCCCAGGGACCCCTTTCCAAGCGCCCCCCTCCCCTAAGACCACACTTTGTCTCAAGACCACGCCCTCCCCTGAGGCCCCGCCTCCTCTCCCAGCCATTCCCCTCATTTGAGGCCCCACCTCTTTTCAAGGCCACGCCCTCTGAGGCCCGGCCTCCTCCCGGGCTATGCTTCTTTAGACCTCTCCTCTTTCAAGGCGACGCCCATCCCCTGAGGCCTACGTCTTCTCAAGGCCACGCCCTTTAAGGCCGTGCCTCCTCCCAGGCCAAGCTCATGAGTCCCTGCCTTTTCTCAAGGCCACACCCACCTCCCGAGGCCCACCTTTTCTCAAGGCCATGCCGTCTGAGGCCCTGCCTCCTCCCAGGGCCGACTCATGAGACCCCGCCTCTTAGGGCAACGCTTATTTGCTGAGGCCCCTCCTCTTCTCAAGGCCACACCCTCCTGTGAGACCCCACCTCTTCTCCCAGCCACTCTTATCTGAGGCCCCACCTCCTCTCTAGGCCATGCCTCTTCTCTGAGACTCTACCCCCTCTCTGAGTTCCCTTCCCTCCCTGAAAGCCCCCCACCCTCAAGATCCCTCCCTTCTCTGAATCCCAGTCCTCTGCGAACTCCTCCCCATCCTCGCTCTGATCCCCCAACCTCTTTGAGTCCTTCCCTCTTTAAGCTGCCCTCCTCCCAGAATCCCTCCCGACCCTGAGCCCCTGTCTCCTTTCTGCACGCCACCCCTGCCTTCCCGGTGTGCCCCCTCTGCTCAGCCCCGCTGTTTTGGGGTCACTCTCTCTTCCATGCAGGGTACACACAGCAGCTGGCCTTCAAACAACCCAGCTCTGCCTATGCGGCCTTCCTGGACCGGCCACCCAGCACCTGGTGAGTCCCAACAGCCAGCTCAGCCAGCTTAGGCCATGCATACCCCCTAATCTCACACCCCAGCCGGACCCAGACCCCGGCCAGGGGTAGTCCCCTAGGCCAGCCTTGCTCAAACAGCCCTAGACGCTTCCGCCCGCAGAGTCCAGGCATTCGCTGGCTGAGTGGCCGGTGATCATTAAGCAGATATCCTTAAGCACGGACAGCGTGCAACAGCTGGGTCCTGGAACCTGGGACAGCAAACCGGGCAAACTGGGCCAGGCCCTGGTCCCTCCCCCCTGCTCATTGGCTGGTTGGCATGGCAGTCTTTGTATCTCAGAGCCGATTGGCTCACGCTCTGTGCCAACCCCCAGGCTGACCGCCTACGTGGTCAAGGTCTTCTCTCTGGCCGTCAACCTCATTGCCATCGACTCCCAAGTCCTCTGCGGGGCTGTTAAATGGCTGATCCTGGAGAAACAGAAGCCTGACGGGGTCTTCCAGGAGGATGGGCCCGTGATACACCAAGAAATGATTGTAAGACACTGGGATGTAGGGCAAAATGGAAATGAGCCTCATAGGATGAACACAAGAGAGACCCCCATTTCCATGTGCCCACTGCCCAATTCCCTTTACAGAGATTGGGGTGGGGGCGGGGACAGAGAGATAAATGAGCCAGAGGTGTCACTCCAGCATTGCAAAACCCAGACACCCGTGGAGCCCAGTGCAAAATGAAGATACACAGCCTCTCGTTCAGAAATTATGAAGAATTTCATTATGACCGGGCGTGGTGGCTGAGGCCTGTAATCCCAGCACTTTGGGAGGCTGAGGTGAGCGGATCACGAGGTCGGGAGTTCGAGACCAGCCTGGCTAACATGGTGAAACCGTGTCTCTACTAAAAGTACAAAATTAGCCGGGCGTGGTGGCACAGGCCTGTAGTCACAGCTGCTTGGGAGGCTGAGGCAGAAGAATCTCTTGAACTCGGGAGGCAGAGGTTGCAGCGAGCCAAGATCATGCCACTGCACTCCAGCCTGGGCAACAGAGCAAGACTCTGTCTCAAAAAAAAAGGGGGGTGAATTTCATTAAACTAAGTGCAGGGGTCCTGCCTGGGAGTCCCCTTCTCACATTCAATCCATCAATACCCACATTCTCCCATGATGTTGCAAGAATCATCCCCTTCTCTCCCTCCTCATGACCAGCCCCTGGACCAAGCAATACTTCCCCCTCCCCTCCTTATTAGGAGACCCTGTAGAAGCCACCTCCTGGCCATCATCCTGGTGGCCTCCCACTCTGATTGGCTCTCAGACACTCACCACATAGCAGCTGGGGTGATTTTTTCAAATCCAATTGGATCAGTCCTTAGAAAGTCCCGTGGCTCCCCTATGGCTCATAAACACAAAATTCCTTCCAGCAGTGGTTCTCAAAGTGTGACTCTCAGACCAGCAGCAGCAGCAGCAGCAGCACCCATGAACTTACTAGAAATGCACATTCTGTGCCTAGGCTCCATGGTCCATGCCTGTCATTCCAGCAGTTTGGGAGGCCAAGGCAGGAGGATGGTTTGAGCCCAGGAGGTCGAGGCTGCAGTGAGCCATAATGGTGCCACTGCACTTCAGGCTGGCAACAGAGTGAGACCCTATCTCAAAAACAAAACATATACTGAGACTGGACCCCAGACTCACTGAATCTGTGGGCAGGACCCAGGAATCTGAGGGTTTTCTTTTTTTTTTTTTTTTTTTTTTTTTTTTGGTTTTTTTTTTTTTTTTTTTTTTTTTTTTTTTTTTTTTTTTTTTTTTGAGATGGAGTCTCACTCTGTTACCCAGGCTGGAGTGCAGTTGTATGATCTCAGCTCACTGCAACCTCTGCCTCCCTAGTTCATGCGATTCTCCTGCCTCAGCCTCCCTAGTAGCTGAGATTACAGGCTTGCACCACCACTCCCGGCTAATTTTGTGTTTTTGTAGATGGGGTTTCTTCATGTTGGTCAGGCTGGTCTCAAACTCCTGACCTCAGGTGATCCACCCACCAAGGCCTTCGAAAGTGCTGGGATTACAGGTGTGACACCCTGCCTGAGGGGTGTGTGTGTGTGTCTGTGTGTTTTGAGATGGAGCTTTGCTCGTTACCCAGGCTGGAGTGCAATGGCACAATCTCAGCTTACTGCAACCTCCACCTCCTGGGTTCAAGCAATTCTCCTGCCTCAAGCTCCCAAGTAGCTGGGATTACAGACGCCCACCACCACACCCAGCTAATTTTTGTATTTTTAGTAGGGACGGGGTTTCACCATGTTGACCAGGCTGCTGTCAAACTCCTGACCTCAGGTGATCCACCCGTCTCAGCCTCCCAAAGTGCTGGGATTACAGGCGTGGGCCACCACACCCTGCCTAGGAATCTGAGTTTTTTAAAGTACCCCCATTCCCTTAGGTGATGATAATGTGTGCTTGAGATGGAGAATCACTGCTTCAGTCTGACTTTCAGGCTTCCAGACTTCCAGCCTTTCTTCTCTTTCCAGGCTCCATCCATCGATAGGAGCCTTGCTCTATTGTGCCACAGGGCCTTTGCACATGCTGTTTATGCCACCTAGTATGCTAATCCCTGCCCTCTGTGAGAGTTGACTCCCTCGGGGACACTTTTCCTGACCTCCCAAACTGGGTCACACTCCCACAGTTCATTGTCACTGCTGTGTACTCCTCCCCTGCACAGAACTCATCCACTTATAGGTATATATCTCTTGGCTGGGTGTGGTGGCTCACGCCTCTAATCCCAGCACTGAGAGGCTGAGGCGGGTGGATCACCTGAGGTCAGGAGTTCGAGACCGGCCTAACCAACATGGGAAACCCCATCTCTATTAAATACAAAAATTAGCCAGGCATGGTGGCACATGCCCATAATCTCAGCTACTCAGGAGGCTGAGGCAGGAGAATTGCTTGAACCCAGGAGGCGGAGGTTGCAGGGAGCCGAGATTGTGCCACTGCACTCCAGCCTGGGCAACAAGAGTGAAACTCTGTCTCAAAAACAAACAAACAAACAAACAAAAACAAGTATCTCTTGAGCTGGGTGGACCATATCCATCTTCCCTACTAGACAAGAGCTCCGTGAGGGCTAGAGCCCATGTCTGGTTTTACAACAGGTCAACCATTGTACCCATGGTGCCAGCACAGAGGCCCTCCATTGACATTTGCGGAAGGAAGAAATGATTGCATGAATTAATACTAAGAAGCTTGACCTACCTGGGCGCAGGGTGACACGAAAAGAGCCTCAGCCCTGCCCAGTACCCCTGATTCTGCAGGAGGGATGACTGGTATGTATGGACACACCTGTGACCCCAGCCTTGCTTCCTTCTGCTCCCCATTCCAGGGTGGCTTCCGGAACACTCAGGAGAAAGACATGGCCCTCACGGCCTTCGTTCTCATCTCGCTGCAGGAGGCTAAAGATATTTGCGAGGAGCTTGTCAACGTAAGTACCCTCCACCTTCCCACCCTACCCTACCGCACCTGACACAGCACAGCCACGGTGGCGCACTGAATCTGATCCATTCTAGTTTATGAGTAGCAATTTGGAGAATCTCTCCCCACACTTTGTCCAGCAACGTCACATCAACAGCATGAAATTGGCCCCAGTGGGAGCATTTACACCACAGCAATTGTCAATCGTTATAAACCAAGGATCCCTCAACCCTCCCACTGGAGAGCTGGTTGTTAAACATTTACCAGCACACCACGGGGTATGTGGACTTCTCCAGATACATAATAGGTATTCAGCGACAAGGCAGCTCATGCCTAAAATGTCTGGGAAATCCTAAAAAATGGACAAATCTAAGACAGATATATCCCAAGGGCAGAAGTCCCTGATGCTCAGGAAGTGCTGCTTGTATGAGCCTTACTAATGAGACAGCAATGCCCATGTGACCAGAGAATCTGATCCTCTTTCTCACAGAGCCTGCCAGGCAGCATCACTGACGCAGGAAACTTCCTTGAAGCCAACTACATGAACCTACAGAGATCCTACACGGTGGCCATCGCTGGCTATGCCCTGGCCCAATTGGACAAACTGAAGGGGCCTCTTCTCAACAAATTTCTGAGCACGGCCAAAGGTGAGGGATGGCCTGGAGGGGCGAAGGCTGGAGTTTAGGGCAGGAAATACTGAGCTGGGATGCATGGCTTTTAGCTGAGCTGGGATGGATGACCCTAAGCCAATGGATGGACAGTCCTAGGCTCTTAAGCTGGGACACATGACCCTGAGCTGAGCAGGGATGCGTGGCTGTAAGGTTTACCAGGTGCTCACCGTCAACCACACAAGAAGGTTTGTCACATGATTCATTCAGCAAATGCGTGTTAAGCATCCATTTCAAAGGGAGAAGTGAGAGTGGATGAAACGAGGGCAAGGCAGGAGCCAATGAACTGAGAGCCTCAAACGTCAGCCGGGACACCTGGACACCAAGACGTGTAGCATGCGTCTTTTTCTGAGCTTTGTCTGAGCCATCCCCAGGCTGGACAGAGCAGTTGGCACTGGGTTGGGGTATCCTCTTTGCAGATAAGAACCGCTGGGAGGAGCCTGGTCAGCAGCTCTACAATGTGGAGGCCACATCCTATGCCCTCTTGGCCCTCCTGCATCTAAAAGACTTTGACTCTGTGCCTCCCGTCGTGCGTTGGCTCAATGAGCAGAGATACTACGGTGGTGGCTATGGCTCTACCCAGGCAAGTGGTCCCCCCACCTCAGGAACATGCATATCTGCCTCCTGTGGCTTCCAGGGGCCTCCTAGAGAAGACACTGAGGCCCACGGAGGCAATTCTTCTTTCCCACAAGCCAGTGTGATGGGAGTGGAGTGGAGAATCAGTTTTTCTTAGTTGCAAACCCATCTATAGATTCTAGAATACGATCTAGATACTCCAAGCTGTGTGTTGAGCCTTATTCTTGCCCCAGGTGTCTAGATTATGTTCTTAGGGCCCAGGTTGAGGTCTAAGCCTCTCTCTCCACCTGGTGGATTCTAGACCATGTTCCCAGTTCCAATAGGCTCACCATCTTACCCTGCCTCGCTGGTGGGTTCTAGACCAGGTTCCCAGTTCTCCCAGGCTCTCAATGTCACACTGTCACTGGCGGGCTCCATACAATGTTCTCAGTTACCCTAGGGCATTATCCAAACCCTCTTCTAGACCATGATTTCAGTAGCTTGAGGCTTCAGCATCATCGGGCTCCAGCTGACCTTTCTTTCTAGTGGTCTGTCAATTGTGTTCTCAGCGTTACAGTATCACTTTTGGGTTCTAGACTATATGCTCAGTGTCCTCTGGCTACAGTTTTATTCTGTTTTTTTTTATAAGTGGGTTCTAGACATATTCTCAGTGTCTCCAAGTCCTGGTGTAAGACTCTCTCCTCTGGATGGATCTAGACCACATCCTCAGGGTCACTAGACCCTTAATCTTATATCTAGACTTTCTGGTGGATTCTAGACATGTTCTCAGCATCTGCAAGTCCTGGTGTAAATTTCTGTCCGACAGAGGGTTCTAGAACATGTTCTCAGTGTCCGATGAACTCCAGTATTACTCCTGAACTCTCTAGTGGGTTCTGGGTCACGATTTGATGTCCCAGCTCTGAATTGAACCCCTTTATCCCCCATTGGATTCTAGCCACTTTCCAAAGTTCCCAGCTCACCATCCTTCTCTCTCGTGGGTTCTAGGCCACCTTCATGGTGTTCCAAGCCTTGGCCCAATACCAAAAGGACGTCCCTGACCACAAGGAACTGAACCTGGATGTGTCCCTCCAACTGCCAAGCCGCAGCTCCAAGATCACTCACCGTATCCATTGGGAATCAGCCAGCCTCCTGCGATCAGAAGAGGTACAGTCACCCAGCCAAGCCCTCCTCACTCTTGCTGTCACCCTCTCCACCAGCCAGGGTTTACTGCGAAGCAAGAGGGAGGGCAGGTGACCATCACAGGCAGCAGAAGGCTTAATTACCAACATGCTGTCTTATCTCTCCTCACTCTGCAGACCAAGGAAAATGAGGGTTTCACTGTCACAGCTGAAGGAAAAGGCCAAGGTACCTTGTCGGTAAGGAACAGGAAAACAGAAACCCACACTGGCCCGGCTCATGCCCCTCTGTCCCAGCGGGACCCTCTCTTCTTGTCTTCAGCAGTCCTAGTCCTGTGGGCTGACATTTTGTCTCCTCTCCCATCTTACCAGGTGGTGACAATGTACCATGCTAAGGTCAAAGGTCAACTCACCTGTAATAAATTCGACCTCAGGGTCACCATAACACCAGCGCCGGAAACAGGTAAAAGGAATCGAGGCCTTATCTGCCACCTTCCTCCTACCCCTCTTCTAATGTCTTCGCCCCTCCGGAATCAACACCCAGGTATACCCTCTCCCATCTTTCTCTCTTCTGTGTTTCTAGAAAAGAGGCCTCAGGATGCCAAGAACAGTATGGTCCTTAATATCTGTACCAGGTAAGAAGCTAGATGCCTGGGGTTCATCTTGGCCATCCCTCTATCTCTAGCAAGACTTCTTGCGAAGACTATCCATGATATTCAATAATTTCCAAGTACACTGTGTATCTGGTACTGTTCTAAGTATCCACCATGAGGTAGAGAACACAGACCGTCCTTGCTTTGCATGTCAGGGTGAGACCACGGCAATGACCATGGACGTTGAGACTGTCCAGGTGATCTTAGCGATCAGTGGAGAAAAGTACACAATCATTCCATGACCTTTAAATGTTTCTTTTTTTCTTTTAAGAGAGATAGGGTCTTGCTCTGCCAGACAGGCTGGTGTGCAGTGGCATAATCATAGCTCACTGCAACCTCAAACTCCCTGGCTCAAGCGATCCTCTCGCCTCAGCCACTGAAGTAGCTGGGACTACAGGAGTGTGCCATAACACCTAGCTAATTTTTATTTTTTATTCCTTCTAGACGTAGGGGCCACTGTGTTGCCCAGGCTGGTCTCGAACTCCTGGCCTTGAGCAATCCTCTACCTTGGCCTCACAAAGTTTTGGGATTACAGGCATGAGCCACATGCCTAGCCTAAATGTTTCTATTACAACATTTTAAATTCTCATACTGCTAGTTATAAAGATGAAGGGAAATGAAAGATATAGTAAGATGAGTATTTGACCACACTGTAATTTAAAACACTAGAACATTGAGATGCAAGATGTTTTTGTTTTTGTTTTTCCTTTGTAAAACACTTATGGACAGTGCTTCAGAAAAAAAGGCATTAAAAAAATGCTTGCCTTCTTCTCTTTGTGTAATTCACAACATGGGAGTAAATATCTTTTCTATGCCTTAATACGTTGTCTTGCCCCTTTCTAAGTTTGGATCAGCTTCCAATATGTTATCCTTTGAGCTTTCGGTATCATGAAATTCCTCCAAGAGTTCCTTTAAAGTGACTTTTTATTCTATAATGTCCCTTCTTCTCGGACATCTTCATCCTTTTTGTCCGCAGGACCTTCCTCATTTGTGCTAATACATTTGCCTTCACTGAGTTCCTCCAGCCACTTATCAACATCCCCAAGGTCTGCTAGTCTTCTGTAACTCCATTCATGCCCTCTTTGAAGTTCCCTTCTGGCATTATCGCTTTTCATTTCTTTACTGCATTTGTATCTTTGTTGGCCAGTTCCCTCTTTTGGTGATACATTGTTGTAAAATCTCATGGGAGTTTGCCCCCTGGAGACAGGGAGGCAACATAACTACACACTTTGCTGTCTGTGCATAAATTGAATAGCAGAAGCTCAGTGACCAATCACTGATGGACTTCAAAGGGAGTGACAGTAACTGGCCCTCAATTATGATGTTCATCTGTTATTTATGTAGTGATTTCTAGACTGAAGAGTTAGCAGCAAAGTCTATACCTCATGCAGCTACTCATGATCAATATACCAAGATGCCGAAATGGGAACCATGTCACTGGGGTACTAGTGTGATTTAACTGATTCATGCCAAGTGCGGGTTGTCTGTATTCTTGCCTTTGTTTTCTAGAACTGATGCATGGAGGGGGTCAAATAATGCAACCAATGTTATTTAGAGCTGGAATTTGAATCCATGCAGTTGGGTCCAGAGTCTGAGCTCTTAATCAATCACCTTGACTGTTACACTACCATGTCTTTTATTTCCTTTGGGGAAATGTTTCCTAAAAAATGTAACGCCCCTCTGTGCTGCTATGTGGGAATTGCAAGTCTCAGTGCCTGACCAGACCCTTGGGGCTGACCCCACCTTGGGACCCAATATCCTTCTTTCTGCACTATCCAGGTACCTGGGAGACCAGGATGCCACTATGTCTATACTGGACATATCCATGATGACTGGCTTCGCTCCAGACACAGAAGACCTCAAGAAGGTATGAAGGGCTCAGAAGCTGGGATAAGTGGAAAGGAGCCTGGGGTCTGTCTGGAAGAGGCTGCAGGCAGAGAAGGGTCCAGGAAGGATTTTTCACAGTCTTTACCTTTCCCCAGCTGGCCAGTGGCGTTGACAGATACATCTCCAAGTATGAGCTGGACAAAGCCTTCTCCGATAGGAACACCCTCATCATCTACCTGGAAAAGGTAAGGCTGCATCATCCTCCCCTGGGAGGCTTCCATGGGCACCTTGACCTCTATCTGGCTGGTCATTTTTCTCTTCAGCTTTTGTCTCTGGGTCAGGCTAGCCCTAGGCTAGAGGAGACAGGGTCTGTGCTGCTGGGTGATAGGGGAAGGAGCTTGTAAAATAAGGGGGGTCAACCCAGTATCTTCTATAAGCATCTCATCTTCTGACCATTTGGCTCCTTCAGCTTCTTATCAGCATGTTAAACCATTGAAAAAGAGCCCCTTTGGATTTTTTTTAAGTGCTTTGTAGAGAGAAAGCTCTCGCCTTGTTCCTTAGCCCAATCCTGAGCGTTGTTTCTTTCTGTGCATCTATTTCTCTCTTCTGTTGTTTTCTTTCTTTCAAGAGACAGGGTCTCGCTGTATCACCCAGGCTGGAGAGCAGTGTCTTGATACTAGCTCACTGCAAAGTCAAATTTCTGGCTCAAGGGATCCTCCTGCCTCAGCCTCCTGAGTAGCTGGGACTACAGGCCTACAACACTGCACCCAGCTAATTTTTTGTTTGTTTATTTTTTCATAAATATTATGCTTTTTTACCCAGCCTTTTTTTTTTTTTTCTTCACTGCAGCCTTGATCTCCCAGGCTACATAATCCTCTCACCTCTGCCTCCTGAGTAGCTGGAGTTACAGGTGCATGCAACCATGCCCAGTGAATTAAAAAAAAAGAAAAGTTTGTAGCTATGGGGACCCACTATAATGCCCAGGCTGGTTTTAAACTCCCAAGCTCAAGTGATCCTCCCACCTCAGCCTCTTGAAGTACTGGGATTACAGGCATGAGTCCCCGGTGCCTGGCCCCAGCTAAATTTTTGTTCTTGTTTCTTCATAAATATTCTGTGTAAGTATCCAGCTGATTGTTTTATTTTTTGTAGAGATGGGGGTCTTGATATGTTGCTCAAGTTGGTCTCAAACTACTGGCCTCAAGCAATCCTCCTGCCTCAGCCTCCTAAAGGGCTGGGATTCCAGGCATGAGCCACCACACCTGCCCTCTCTTCTGTTATTTTCTATCCATCTGGTATTCTCTTACTCTTTTATCTCTACCAGGATTGGGGCTTTCCCCTCTCCCTTCTCTATTTCTTCCCATTCTCCTATCCCCTATCCTCCCTGCTAACTCCTGATACCCACAGGGCCCCTCAATCCCATTTTAGTCAGTTTAAGTAACACTAGCTACTAAAACAAAACCCCTAAGAATATGGGATCTTAACACAACAGACTTGTATTTCTCACTCATGTAAAGTCCAGTTGGCATGGGAGGTAAGGAGGAGTCCCTATGCTCCATGTAGTCACTCAGGGATCGAAGCACCTTCCATCCTGGGGCTCTGCAATCCTTAGGATCTTTTGTAGTTCTCCGTAGGATTTGTTCACTATAGATGAAAAGAAGATTGTGCATGGGTTGTTTTTATGGTCATAGATAGCAATTCATTGGCCAGAGTTCAGCCACCTGGCCACACCTAATTGGAAGAGGAGCTGAGAAATGTAGTCTAGCTGTGAGCCTAGGAAGAAAAGTAAATGGATTTGGTGAATTGCTCATTTATCTTCACCACTTCCTCCTCGACTCATTCAATTTCTCCATCACTGCCCCAGCTCGCAGGACCTAATCCCTCCTACATCACCCCACTGACCAAACTCCTCCTTCCCCCTCAGGTCTCACACTCCGAGGAAGACTGTCTGTCTTTCAAAGTTCACCAGTATTTTAACATAGAACTTATCCAGCCTGGTGCGGTCAAGGTTTACGCCTATTACAACCTGGGTGAGCAGCCAACCTAGGGCCTGGGGTCTAATGGTTCCAGGGGCTGGAGAGTCCCAGGTATATATGAGTTGTGGGGATCTGAGAATGAAGCTCTAAGGAGTCCAGGAATTTGAGGATTAGTAGTCTGAAGGTCCCACGAGTTTGAAGGTCCCAAGGATCTATGAGTTGAGGTTCTGAGGTTCTGAGGGGATCTGAGAATGAAGTTCTAAGGAGTCCAGGGATTTCAGGATTCATTGTCTGAAGGTCCCAGGGGTCTGAGGGTCACAAGGATCTATGAGTTGGTTCTAGGGATCTGAGAGTTGGGGGTCTGATGGATCCAGGAGTCTCAGGGACCTGGGTATATGTGAGTTGGGGAGGCAGTCTGAAAATAAGGGTCTAAAGATTCCAGGGATATGACGGTGGGAGATCTGAGTGTCCCAGGAATGTATGAATTTGGGGTCTGAGGGTCCCAGGTGTCTGTGAGCTGGGTCTGAGAATCCCAAAGATCAGAAAGTAGAGGGGGTCTGGGGGTCCAAGGGAGCTGAGGGTTTGAAGACCTGGCATCTCCAGATCTGTAGACTGAGAACTGGGGATCTGGACCTCCCAGGCGTGGTCTTGGGAGGGAGGCCCTTATCCCCTGATCTCCTCCGCGTCACGTCCGCCTGCAGAGGAAAGCTGTACACGGTTCTACCACCCAGAAAAGGAGGATGGAAAGCTGAACAAGCTCTGCCGGGATGAACTGTGCCGCTGTGCTGAGGGTGAGTTCCCTGGAGCCAGGAACAGATGCACCTGAGCAAGCCACACTTCCCTAGGTCGTCCATCCCATGGCCAGGGACCCCCCCCCAGGGGCCATATCCAGGGGAGATACCAAGAGGGGTAGGCTCCCAGAGCTGGCCACACCCATGGGCAGTAGGCCCAGATGAGGAGTGGGACTTAGACCCTGTCTCCGCCCCCACCCTACAGAGAATTGCTTCATGCAAAAGTCAGGAGACAAGGTCACCCAGGAGGAAAGGCTGGACAAGGCCTGCGAGCCAGGAGTGGACTATGGTGAGTGGGGGGGTGGGGGTCACTCGTGTGGCTGTGTGTGTCTACCTGTATGGTGGGTAGTAGGTATGGTTGTCATGGTGTGGCTTCAGGCTGTGGCTGTGGATGACTGTGGTGTGTGTGTGTGCATGTGTTGTGAGGGGCCGTGACTGTGTGGGGAACCGTGACTAGGAGTATGCGTATGTGAGAAAAGGTGAGTGTGGTTGTGTGCAGTGTGGCTGTGAGGTTGTAGTTGTGTGTGGCCATGGTTATGTGAGGCTGTGGTTGTGGACACCTGAAGTTGCGTGTATGACCGCAGTGGTTGTGGCTTTGTGTGCTGTGATTGTGGCTGGTTATGCTCATGGCCATGAGGCTGTAGTGTTGTGTGCATATGAGTAGCTGTCATTGCCTCGTATACATAGTACATTACTACACATTATAGGTGGCTGGGCCTGTGTGCATGAGGCCTTGTGTGTGTAATGAGGGGTGTGCCATAGTGTGACTGGCTGTGATTCTCCAACTTTCTGCTTGGGGGAGAGAGCCACATGCCCCGGTGCACTTGCAAACCAGGGTGCCCCTCATGGTCAACCTAGCCCACGACCCACACTGTCCACCTGTCCCCCACAGTGTACAAGACACGACTCGTCAAGATCCAGCTGTCCAATGACTTTGACGAGTACATCATGGCCATTGAGCAGATCATCAAGTCAGGTCAGCCTCAGCACGCTGCCCGGGGGTGGGGGGGCTCCCTGACTTCCTCCCCATGGCTCAGCTTCTTCCCTCTGCCCACCACTCCAGGCACGGATGAGGTGCAGGTTGGACAGCAGCGCACATTCATCAGCCCCATCAAGTGCAGAGAAGCCCTGAACCTGGAGAAAGGGAAACTCTACCTCATGTGGGGCCTCTCCTCCGACTTCTGGGGAGAGAAACCCAAGTGAGTGCTGTCCTGCGCACGCAGGCGCAACCACCACGCCCATGCCACGCCCACACCATTTGCCCCCGCCCTATGCCCCGCCCACACCACGCCCCTTCCTGACCTGCTATTCCTCCCCTCCAGCCTCAGCTATATCATCGGGAAGGACACTTGGGTGGAGCCCTGGCCGGAGGACGACGAATGCCAAGACGAAGAGAACCAGAAACAATGCCAGGAACTGGGCTCCTTCACGGAGAACATGGTTGTCTATGGGTGCCCCAACTGACCACACCCCATTCCCCCACTCCCAATAAAGCTTGTTATATTTCACGCGTCTGGAATTCTTTGCCAGAGAGCAAGAGGCTGCAATCCACCTGCAGCTCAGCTCCATCCTACTTGAAACCTCACCTGTTCCCACTGCATTCTCTCCTGGCGTTCACCTGCGAGTGTGCTGACTTCTTTATCCAAGAAGCATGGACCTGCCTGTCCTGCACGTAGCATGAAGTGAACCTGCATCTCACCTCCATTTCGCCTGCATACTCACCTGTACACTCACCGGTAGCTCACAGCCCCTTCGCCTGAGTTCTCACCTCTTTGCTTACCTGTATCCTCACCTGTTAATTTTACCAATATTTTCTTTTCCTTTCTTTTTTTTCAAAATCCATTCCACACTGTCTTCTTTTTTTGGTGGGGTGGGAATGGAGTCTCGCTCTGTCGCCCAGGCTGGAGTGCAGTGCCGTGATCTTGGCTCACTGCAACCTCCGCCTCCTGGGTTCAAGTGATTCTCCTGCCTCAGCCTACTAAGTAACTGGGATTACAGTTGCCTGCCACCTTGCCCAGCTAATTTTTGTATATTTAGTAGAGAACGGATTTCACCATGTTGGCCAGGCTAGTCTCGAACTCCTGATCTCAACTGATCTGCCCACCTTGGCCTCTCAAAGTGGTTGGCTTACAGGTGTGAGCCACCACACCCAGTCCCCCCATCACCTAGGTATAAGCCCAGAATGCATTCACTCATTTTTTTCCTAATGTTCTCCCTGCTCCTAATCTTACCGATATTTTCATCTGAATCTTTACCGGTTCGCTCATCTGCACCCTCAGCTCTATCCAC